TAGAAACAGCTACTGTTTTTGTTGATCTTTTTAACTTCTGAATAGTCCTATTTCAAGTCATAGCAGCATGGGAGCTCAGATTAATAATATACTTATTCAGCCAGTGATACTGAGTGAAACCATTGCTAGTGTGAGTATGAAGGCTAGGATTTCGTTAAATTATTTTCAGGTGCATTAATTCATTTTTGAAAGAAGAATATAGAGATATTTGAAAATAAATTAAATTTCTGTTTATCGATCATGGTACAAGTGTGTATGAGTTTTAATAACAAGAATTTTTTAAGGCGTCTCTCCTTTAGATAACTTTTGTACTGTGCTCACTGTCAGTTCATCCATCAGATGGTGAACAAGAATAAGAGCAAAGAGATTGTAATTAAATCTTGCCTTTTGGACAATACTTTTGAATTTAGAGGAAAAGGCATGTTCCACGCTGTGAAGTATCCTTTCTATCCCATCTCCTCTACAGCATCATCTTACCCCAGAACCAAAGGCTAGCAAGGTGAAAGGAGCAAACCCTGTAGGCTTCTGAATTTGAGTTGGACCTCCTTAATGCAGCAGTTTGATAAGCGTCAGCTTGCACAAGTTTGGATTCTAATCTTGTAGTGGTTTTGATATGATCTATTTGTGTGTAAACTAGCCCAGTGTCCTGCACCTACTGAAGGTGAACCCAAGGCTGATGTGCTTAGTTCCTTACAAAGAGATTTTTGCTCTTTACAGCACAGGAATTTGGGGCCTTTAGAGGCACTGTCGTGATGCTGGTTAGCGTAGTTCTTTGCTTCACACTCCTTTGGCCACCTCTTATCAATTTTTGTGGCATTCATCTTTATCTCTTTCATATCTGAATGGCCTGGTCTGCTCAGTAAGGTCTTTCCAAATACTTTATTAATAGAGTTGGTGTTTCATATGAATTCATTTTCTTTCTCTCAAATGAAATAAAATTACGCCTAAAAAATTCTTAATGTGAGTCTGGTTTGTACTCATGATAAGTCAAGTAGGGGTAGAGTTTCTTTCAAAAAATACTTAGGTAAGCTGTTTAAAATTAATATTTGTTATTCTAAAAAATTGTGAGAGGTATCAGCCGCCCTTCCACAGTTGCAGATAAAGTGCTATGGCAAGAATTTGGCATTTTTACATTGCCTGAGAGAATTATATATTCATTTTCTTGGCTAATGTGGTGCAAGGAAATTTAAAAAAGGATGTAGCGCTTTTTAAAAGCCATCATTTTAAATATAAACAAAAAAGCTTTTGCTTGAGATTTCTCAAAAGTCTTTCAGTCTTTGTAAAATTGTTATTCACTTCTTGGCTAACAAGAGCCGAGTGAGTGACACCTTTGAGAGTCCCAGCTTGTGTTTTAGTGCATAGCTTGTATTTTGCTATGCACTACCATGCAAAATATTATCTGAACTTATTTAAAACAAACCCTGGTGAATAAATTTTTTGACGCAGAAACAGCCATCTAATTTACTCATTTATTTTAGTTGCAGCAAGCAGCTGAAGTTTCTCAGCTGAGAGGAGCTCGAGTCATCTCTGCTGAAGATCTCCTGTTCTTAATGCGCAAAGATAAGGTATAGTAATAAGACAGAAATTTCTTACTTTATGTAGTGAGCTGCTTATCGTGTTTTGAAGTGCTTGCTTAACCTATGTGAAAGGAGTCCGTCACCACAAACTGCTTTATTTAAAAGTATAGCTGCTCTGAAATTGTATTGCATTGTGCACAGTGCAATAATCGTATAACATTTTAATGGATTCTAATTTTTTTCCTATAACTTCAATTATCAATAGATTTTTTTTCACTAAGCTTTAGGGTGGGTAATGTACCTTAGAGCTCAAAAACATTTCTTAATAAAGGTACAAATATCGATCCTTATACTTTATGTCTTCTTTATTAAAAATCAATTGTTCTAATTTCCTCCTAGTTATGCAGGGTATAGATGTGATACCTGACAGTGTGACCATTACATTTTTGTCACCTAAACCATCAGAAAATCCTGTCTTGATTTTCCTTTATACTACTTTTCCTGTACTTTATGTCACTAAAATCTCCAAATTTAGGGATGGTCTTGCTTTCTCTGGATGGTAGGTAGAGTAGGTCAATAATTTTTTTTTAAAAAATTAATAATTTTCCATACAAGACTAAATTAATTTTCTTTCTTCAAATATCAAAATTATTCAAAATTATTATTGACTGTTTTTACCAACATTATTTATTCTTCCTTTATCTCCTTTTCTTCCTTAGTGCCCCCCTCCTTCCCTTCCGCTTTTCTTTCTGCTTTGTTTTTATTTCCTTGGTTGATAGGTGAAACCCAATGACCAAAACCATGTTAAAATTAAAAAACACTAAAACGTGAAAATCCACTGCAATTTCTCTATCTGATATGATCTATAAGGCTATACTGAAAACAGTGTTTAATATGAATGTCAAAGTTCATGGAAGTATGCATTTGTAGGTTTGAATTTCGAAACTAAGCAAAGATTTTGGAGTGTCCTAAAAGAAGCCTGATTTCTGAATTTCTGCTTTCTGAAAGTCAAACCCATTTCTGTCTCACAGTTGGCAAGCAAAGTACCAAGGAGCTCAAATAAATAATATTTAATGTGGAATTGCTACTAACCTTGATGTAGTCTATATATGGATTTTCTGCAGACTCAAAAATTTTGAACATTGTAGAAATTATATTTACTGAGTAATGTATTACACATTCTTACGATTGTGTGTTACAAAGTTAGTATAAATAAAAAATAACTATATAATACTAATTAATATAAATGTACTTTTTCTTTTAGAAGAAGCTTAGAAGGCTACTTAAATACATGTTTTTTCGAGACTACAAATCTAAAATTGTCAAAGGAATAGAAGAAGATGACCTCCTTGAAGGTAGAAAAAAAAATTACTTAATTTGGGGGAGGCTCAATATTTTGTAAGTTATCTGAACAGCTCAATGTGAAGTATTAATGTCTTGCTAAATAGTTAAAGACACAAAAATATTGACTTCAAGTACTTTGGTTTTCATCTCTTCTTTTCTGTTTGAAATGCTTCCGAAGTATTTGCATCTACCACCCAAATGATAAGTAAGGTTGCTTAATGTCAGAACTCTGTTGATGAAACTGGTGCTGATTAAAGGGCTAATTGATTTCAGCATGTATAATTTAAATGCGGCAGCTACTGCCTACAATCGAATGGATATTTGTTTAAATAATTATCAAAGGGTTTTGACATGTTTTACAAAAAAATCCCATAATCTGAAAGCACTGAATACTAACATATGACCTGGGTTTGTTTTCAGTGTGGTTTAACATTTTATACTTTGAATCTGTCATTTAAAGAATGGGAAACACTTTTGTTTCCCCATTCTATGAGTAAGTCACAGATTTTATAATCAATGCATTTAAAATAAAAGCTTTTTGAATTAAAAATATTTTAATTTATGCCATATAATTTGCTGGTATAAAGTTTTGTTGGTTTATATTAATGGAAGAATTACCATTTCCTTTTAAAAAAGTAAAGTTAAAACTTATCGTAGCAAACCTAAATTTTACCATAGTTTTATAACCTCTAGCAATGTCCATACACGACTTTTTGTATTTAACTTATTTCCTTTCTCAGAGCCTTTTGTTTTATTTTTTTTCCCTTACAATAAATTCCTTGTGTTAGGTTCCTTTGAGCATCCACATTGATGTTAGATAAACATTGTATTTCTTGCTTTGACTTAGTCAATCTGTGGATAAGTCTTGTCAACTCATTTGAGATTTAATTTGCCTGTGGCATTTTGTTTTCACCGCCCATGCAAGTATATTGTTTTTTTGCAAGCAATTTGACAGTAGAGCTTTCTGCCTGACAAGTTTGGGTTGTTTAATACTTAAGTCTGCGTCGCTTTTTAAAACGCATCACTTTTTAAAACAAACAAACAATTTTCATAAGCCATTTAGATGCCCATGAAAAGCTTCTTAAGCACAGTTCATGTAGGAAATAACAATCGCATTTTCTGGCAGGCTTTGGTAATTGAAGCCATTAACTTGATTTTATGAAGCTAATGGCTTTATAGCCGCCATTCTGTTTAGAACAACAGAGATCACCCTTCCAGGGTTCTCTAGGTTTTACTGTAGAGCAATGGTCCATCACCTATGGAGCTGCACCTTAGCGTTTGTGTTATGGTTTGCTTTAGGCTGTAGGTAATGAGGATGTTCTGTGTGCTTTCAGGAAAGAACATTTCCTCTATATATTCTGTTCAATGAGTGAGGGTTTTGTGCAACCGAGGAAGGGAACTTTTTACTACATCTCTGTCCACTGTGGATTCTTCACTGAGAAATAATGATATATGAGCAGTAGACTAGGTTTCTGCAGATTACAAAAAAACACTAGGTTATACTAGAAAACACTAAAGGTGGTTTTTTACCATAGTGCTACTGCAGCACAGCAGTGACATCCCCTTGGTCAGGTCCACAACTTGTCTGAGGAGGACAGTCAGAATAAGCCTTTTCTGCATAGTGCGTCTGATTCTAAAATATGTCCCTCTAAGGGACATCAGTTGCTGTTTGGAGAAGCCAAATAACTTAAATTTGTTGTTCCTTGCTTACCTTTGTGAAGACAAATTCAACAGTAATAACACCAACAAACGGCAGAAGCTTGCTCAAGACTTTCTCAACTCCATTGACCAGACTGGAGAGCTATTAGCCATGTTTGAAGATGATGAGATTGATGATGTTAAGCAAGAGCGGATGGAGGTAATTCTTTTCTTTTGCTGATATCCAGCTCCAGCAGAGAAATCAGTGAAATATTTCATACATCGTGCTGGTCTGATGCCTTTTTCATGCTGCTTATTACGTCATTGTTACATGTTTTTTCCTTTTGCCCAAATGGTCTAAAGGAATCCTAGTTCCATGTTTTTCCTATTCCCTCAAATATTTCCTGATATCTAAGCATGCCTGCTGAGAAGAAAGATTACAAAAGGGTAGTTATGGATACTGTCTGCCATATAGTTGTATTTCCTTCCTATAGAAAACATAATCTATCTATAAACCTTTCACATGCATTTTTCACAATCATTTTTTTCTTCATTATTGGTCTCATTAGAAAATTGTTTCAATAGCATTTGAGGACTGTTTTCATATAGCATAGCTTACAGATAAATTAAAATATTCTGTGCAAACGTGCTTCAGTAAATGCTCTTCTCTCCGTCCTTCTTTCAAGTCCTAATTTCTGATCTATGTACATACAAAAAGTTATGTCTACGTTACAGAACGCAGTACCGTATCACTCTTAAAAAGCTGTGTGGGATCAAGAAGCAATGTAGCTGTTGTAGCATGGAAGTCTGTGGAACAATGGTTTTGATACCAGTTTTACTTGCTTTCACTGAGGTTTATCTATACTGGCACAAGATGCTATATCATAGCAAGTTTGCCTTATAGATCTTATCAATCCTACATCCTCGCTATCTGTAGAGCATCTTAGATGTCATTTACTCTGAAGTATTTATAAGATCTAAAGGCTGTATCTGTACTAATCAATAAACCAGTCCAGGTCCAATCTCTGGCCCTGAAGGCAGGTGACATGGCCTGGCTTAGATCCCTATGGCTAAATTTTTTGTAGGTGGACGGGGCTACCCTGTCTTTTCAGTAGCCCTGTCCATAGCAAATATGGAGAACAGTCCATGGCTCCTGTTCGTGCTCAGTTCTTCCTAGTGTCTTGTGTGGGTGACTCGATGTCTAGGACAAAATTGTACCAGCGGCATGATCACAATTCTGCACTCATGTTTGGCCCAATTTCCATCATTTTTCTCAGTAGTACAGTATATGTGGCTGTTGGAAACTTCCTATTTTTAGGGTGATTTTTGTACGCTTTCAGTGGTAGAAGCTGGTTACTTTGGTTTGATTTTCTTTTCTGTGCTGAGATGGGCGATGCATTCAGTATTTGTGTAGTTAATATTTGACTATTAGGGCCTTACTTCACTTTCAAGATTTCATGGAAAATTCTAAGAATTTTCTGTCCTGCCCTAGTTGTGAGTCTTATTTTTTCTTCTTAATGGAGCTCCGTTTCTGAACTGGGACTTAACCGTTCCTGTTTCCCCTTTCTTCTCCCCATTACAATTACTCAAAATCTAATCAAGAATCCCTTCTTTCTAAAAATTTGTCTAGGAACAAGTCCCATTTCTTCCCAGCTGAGAATCAGTGTCATCGAAGTGTTGTTCCCGACCACTGTTTGTGTTTTGGAAACAGATGGTTTCTTTGCTTTGCTTTGCTTTGCTTTCTTTTTATTTATGCAAAATGTTCTGTTTTGCACAAAGGCAGGGAAATCCTTTGAGCTTGTACACACAAAAATACATAATAGCACTGTTCTGAATGAATGGATTATGTGCTTGACTTTACATTCTCTCCTGTCATTCCAGTATAATATTTTTTTGGTCTAAAAAAATACACAAGTTGCTAGAATTATGAACTTCCCTGTCCTAGGCAAGGACAAATCTGACTCTCTGTTTGTCTGTCAAGGAATGTGTTCCTATAATCGAATGTTTATCTTTCATCTGACTCTATGTTTTGGTTTTTTCACACTAAACTATAATTCGTGAACTGTAGTGTGTGTTTATATATATATATATAAAGTAATTCTTCTCTCTATTGGTCTACTTCATTACATTTTCTGAACTCTTGATCTGTTTCCATGTTAAAAAAAAAAAAAGGGACAAAAATCAAGATCTACTGATTTTAGAATAGAACCATGAATTATATACCGGTATGAAGTCAGTTCTCTGTATTTTCTTTCGTTTTAGGTTTTAAAACTAATGACAAAACATGAAAGATTGCTTGAGACATGCTATTCAAAATGTTTAACATATTTTCGGCATTGTTTTGTTTGGGATTTTCTTGTCACTTTGAGGTTGGTGGAAAGGAATCAAAGATAGTAGGAAATGTGGTCCGTTCCTAAAGGAAGAGTTGTTAGTACATGGGCTAATCTTGTGTATCACATTTTCTTTGTGCAGTAGATTGTTTAATCCATGCTAAGTTTTGGAGCAAATCCAATAGAGACTTTAAAAATTCTAACAGCGTTCTTTAAGGAATTAGTATACTGAAATCACGAACTGTGATCTAAAGGCAGTGTTCCTTTTAGGTATCAATTACCTCAGAAATGTGTGGTTATCTTGGTTTGGACAACTGTAAATGATTTCAGTTCCACTTTGCCTTGGGCCAAAATCATGCAAAGTTGTCCAAAGCAGATGATGAACATATATTTCTGATGTCATTATGGGCTAAACAGGATATGGTTGTTTAGCAGTATGGTTTCGGTTATGATACAAAAAGCAAATATTGTTTATACCCATTTCTTTTAAAACATTTTATAAAACTAGAGCTAAGACTTCATGAGATCGCTTGCTGTTCTGTGAGGTCTATTCCAGATTTGTACCACGGGGGAGTAAGCAAAGCTCCAAGCCACTTTCAAACATTACTAAAGGAGGACAAACCATTCCACAGTTTTGACTGAAAAACACCCAGTAACGCTGTCATATTAAAAAGGACGGACAACTTCTAGGATTGTATGTAGAACTTACTGATGTATCCTGTGGTTTTAATTTGAAGTAAAGGGACTGTCACTAAGACAGTAATAATAGCAATGTGTAAAGCAAAGTAGAATACTCTTAAAATGCAAAACAAAATTAGGAACAAAATTCATGTTACTTTGTCATAATATGTGATTACATTATCAATATATTGTTATCATGACTTCTTATGAAAAATTCAATACTAACAGTAAATAGTGGCAAATCAGCCATCTGTATTGGCAGAATAGAAACAAAATAAAAACTGGAATAACTCCTCTGTCTCACTTCATAACAGTTAGTATTTTGCCCTCCTAAAATAGCATTAAAATGCCAGTGAAATGCTGCTTCTCAGAGTAAGAGAAGTTATAGATGGAAAAAACTATTCTAGTTCATAGATGTAAGTGAACTGTGCACCTGAAGGAGAGCTATCTAGATTATAGAAGTTGTCTTCATAACAGGTGACAGCCTCTTGAGAATAAAATCTAACAGTGATCTACCTGACAGGTAGCCAGAGCTGGTGGTGCTTGGGAATTCAATTTCCCTTCTATTGCCTGTTGTATGACAGAATCCACGAGAAATAAAACTTCTGCAATTTTGCTTTCCTCTGTCTCTTAAAAATCATTTAGAGGGGAGAGTTTGGATTCCTGTGGGATATCTGTGGGGAAAAGGTGCATGCTCATTTAAAATCTTGGCGTTTTTCCCAATTTTGCAGTTTGGGAAGAGTTCCAGTTTTGGGTGTTTGTGTCCTTATGTTGCTACTCTGAACCTGTCGGGTGACCTGTCCATAGTAAAACTAGCTGCAGGTTGGGCTGTGATTTTGTGACTGGTAATGGCAATTCTGCCAAATTTTCCTGTCAGAACCACTATCAAATCTTCCATGTCTTGTTATTAAACTCAATTATACCTATGTTAAAACTTCGGTCAATGTCATTGCAAAGCTGGCTTGTGTCTCATTCTGTAAATATACATTTTTTTAATAATTTGTTTTATAATTCCACCTCCCCCACCACAAAAAAAGTCTTCCCATCAGAAATCTGAACTGACATACAAAGGAATGCCTAAAGCATCACGCTGTGAATGCTCTGTTTCACTTTTGTTCTCCTCAGATTAAGAGAAACACCGTTCATCTGTCACTCCGACTGGTAGTTTAGGGATATATTTCCAACACTCAGATGTTTTATGGCAATAATTCAGTTGCAGTAGCTACCATTATGCTTTCATAGTACATTGCAAGTTTGAATAAACAGTGGAGGGAAAATAACTTCCCTAGAATACACTACCTTGAAAACAGGCTATATGCCAGCAAAATGTTAAGGCTAAGTTACATCCCACGGAGACTGGCAGAAGCTTGTGGTTCTTTAAGGTGTGTTGTCTTATGAATTACGTTAGGTATTTAAAACATACAGGTATATATTGTTGTTCTAGGAGGTTCATTGTGGATGTGGTTTTTCCTGTACTATTCATTAGTATGCTTCTGTACAAAGCTCACAGAAATCTAGAGGGCCCTGTGCAAGATACAGTAGATTGCAATAAAGTATAGGTGTGTTTGGAATATACCCTTTGTTCACATGAAGTTGAATTACTCCCATTTAATTTTGTCTGCATTCAGATACAATTAATTTGTGTCCATCGAACACACTTAAACACACCTAGATGCACCTCGGGATAACGAGGAATCATGTTCTGGAAGTCCACTGTTTCAATCATAGAAATAAGATGGACTTGGCATGTAGTAGTAAATTAGACCATGACTGAGAAGATTCCCTCCAACTAGAATATGATCATCAACTTTTGAGTGGTCATGCTTTGATCTGAGCCAGGTAGCGTTGTCCTAAACAATTCCTGGGCACAGTCTGGGTGTCAGCCTGGGCCAGGAACTCTCTCCATGACATGGTTTGGATGTGCCCACTCTCTTTGAGAGGGTCCGAGGGCAGGAGCACAGACACAGGTTGCTGTATGCCAACTGCCCTTGGAGGTCGGGCATGGACCTGGCTTCTTTTAGTTGAAACAACTAAAACTTGGTGAGATAATTCAGAAAAAAAAAAACCCTATGAGCTCTTCTGTTAAGGCAGGATCTGAAAGGCGTGTTGAAGTACTCAAATTCATTGTACTAATTTGGAAAAGATGTACAAAGAAAATAAGCAGGAAATTATTTAGAAAGAGTTCTGAGGCCTTTTAGTGCCGCTGTGC